AAAAATTAAATTAGCTACCGACAAGAGATATTAATAATTTTTGAAGGTCTATGATATGCTCATCTTTTCTACACTTGAAGAAAATGAGCCTGATGCGTGGGAAAATGGAATCACATAAATCACAAGTACTTGTGACATTGAGCTCTGCCACACTATTCATAGAACCAGTACCGAGTATTAAGAAGTTTATCACTTGATTCCTTTTTTTTCTTCTGTTATTTGAAAAGAAGCAGGAATTTCCTTCTGTGTTCTTATCAAGACGAAGATTAAGCAGCACTTAATTTGCGTCCTCATAGCTTTGGTTTGGTGGGAAGTCATGGTAATCAAATTTTCATCTTTCATAGCTTGCTAATAGCAACAATAGCTGCTTGTCCAGATTAAGGAATCAAGATCTTTGCTGGGACATTTAATTTTTTTAATATTAAGATGATAGTGGCAAAGAAACGAAGCAACACAGTTGTAACCTGATATATTTTTTTTCATCTTAGGTGACCTGGTGGATGGTATTATTGCTTTTAGAAAATTAAAAGCTGATTTTAGAGGATCTTATTTCATTTAAGCAAATCTGATCTTTCGAGCAACACTTTTATATGTATTGCATCATACACAGCAATCTCAAACAAATGATTGCTGACACGAATGTAAAATCTCCGATGCCTTAGATCTCAAAAAGAATGCCTTTGACTCCCTTATAATTTAATTCCTACGTAACATTGTGAGCCTTGCCATCTATACCATACCGAAGATCATTACAATTTAATTAAAAGAATAAAGTTTTTTTTTTTGTTTTCTTTGCAATTTTGAGTCAGCTAGAGTGCTTTGTTGTTTTTTCTTACTAGTTTCTTCCGTTTTTAAATGCATAGATAACAAGTCTTTTTCAACCACTGCATTGCCACAATCGCTAAATTTGTCAGATAGTAATTGAGGAAATGTAATTTTCCTCTTAGTTCGATTACAATAAGTGGGTAATGCATTGTTGCATAGCATGTTTTTGCATAAAATGCAATTAAATATTCAAGTTACTACGCTGAGCATTTTAGCCATTACAGCAGAACAAAGTTTCTCACTTTCAAATCTATTTTAGATGTTTGAAACTAAAAAGTTTGTTGGGGGGAATAACTTTTTTTTCATTCGAAAGTTCAATAGGATGAAAATTTTAAATTTTATAGCAATGAAATATTTAACTTTATGATACGTAGATAGGAGCTAGATGAGATTTATAAAAACCTTTACAAATAATAAACAACTTCTCCGTGCCTAGAAAAAAGCTTCAAAATTACTAAAGAGCGTCAGTATTTAAAGTGACAAAATTTAAATATTTATCTTAGAATGAAAGACCACGGCCCCTCTTAACGTCTTTTTATCAATCTTTTTTCTTTTTCTTTTTGCAGCTTGTAAATGTTAAAAAGAAGCGGAACGACGAAATTACGCAATTGAATTATGCCGCAAAAAACTTTCACTTGAACTTTGTTGACTTGATAAATTAACAAGACTTATACACAGAAAAGATTATAGAATAACAAAAAAAAAGATTGTCGTTTTGAATTAACATAGGTATTATAAGTATAGTAAAAATTTTATGCATTGTTAGTAATTGGGTGATTTTTCATAATAAATTTCATTTTAATATTTATCATTTGTTGCTTATTTTTACGCTCTTTTAAGCTTATTAAACCATTTTTTCAACTTTCATGTCATTAGAAAATTTTATTAACTTTTATGAATAAATAATAAATAATTTTTGAAAATTTGTATTTTTTTATTGACCAGCGTTGAATAGTGAATCTATATTGGATTTTCGACTACCACTATAAAACTCCTTAGCCGTGGCGAGGTAAACCACAACACCCCTTACGTTTTGCCCGACCGTAAAGAACCCTAACTCAAGATTCATTGTATGACTCAAGATTCATTGTATGAAATATTTTACATCAACAATGTGTTCTTTACTAGCGGAAGGCCGTATGCGAATAAGTATACACCTGCACGTCCCATACATTGGGAAACGAATCCTTCTATCTTCTCGACTTGTACAGTAAATAATATTTTCTCCTATAGGTACAGGCCGGGGTAGCCTAATGGTCAGAGAATCGGAGGGACCGGGGTTCGATCCTCGACTCCATTAAGACCCACCGAGTACATGCGATATTCGAGCTCGTAAAATCTGTGAAATCGAAAGTTCTGTGGTCTGTCTCTGAGCAATACCATTTGTACAGGGGTCTGCAGAAATTTGCTTCCTCTTCAGATCTATGTCTAAATTGAGGAAGTGGCCTCACGAATGAGTGGGGCAACCATCTATCCGTGGGGTTCTGAGCCAAGACGTACTTTCCCCTTTGTGGTGCTTTCTAGTCAAATGAAAACAGCACATTACTGATTTAATTCGCAAAGCCATTGGTTGACGAACTTGGAAGTGTCATTAGAGCCATACATATGTATTTTAAATGTAAACAAAAATTCTTTAAATAATGAGGATTCAAAATATTCCATCGCAACGGACAAATAAAATTTAACTTGTTTTTATATCTAAGATTATCACTTACAAAATAATGCATTGTAAACATAATGTACGGTAATTGAGAAATAATGCTGGCTTAATTTTTTTTATTGAATCTTACATCTAATGTAGTATCATTTTTTTATATTGGTTACTCGAGTAATAAAATTTGTAGTTCAAGATTAATTTTTTTGCGGAAATCGAACGACCACCAAGCATCCGAATAGTGTTTTTATTAAATGTAAAATAACAAAAAAGATGAAATTAACGAGGCCCTACTCTTCACTTGCTTGAAAACTCAATAACGTTCTTTATTTTTAACACAATAGTAAACTAAAAAAACAGCCTGCTCTAGTACCAGATAGAAGGCTATTATTAGCTTATCGGCTACTCCTAGTTATAGATACAAATATGCAAATGAACTCAAATTCGATGTGGTTCATGAGATTTAATACAAATTATTTGTTGCTCTAGTAAATCATAAATTTTTCAATTAGTTTACGATTTGCTATTTTCTGACAACCGCTAGCTAAACTCTTGGCCTGTTGTCAATAGTTAGTTAGTTCAGAAATTCTTATAACAGGCAAAGAAACAAGAGCTCTTTCTAAACACGTAAGCAAAAATTTTTACGATACATTTTCCTCCCTAACAAAAGTTTAACACCTATCGGTTTGCTTTAGAAGAATTTTTTTAATATCATTTATGGTGTCACTCACACTAAATGTACCAAAGGGATATAGAACCGTTATAACTCCTCCCTAATCAATAAGACCATTTGAAAATTGACTCTTTACAAGTTTATATCAACTGGAGAAAAAAATTTATACTTTAATATTCTTTGAATCTGAAAAATGATCTACGATTCCAAATTATTTTTTTTTCGAATGTTTCCCATAACCTATTTTATTATTTTCAATTTTAAAAAAAGCGTTTAGTGCGTACTTACTAAATTTTATGAGCTGAATTCAGTAGAAAAATCAAATTTCGTCGCTTCTAGTAAGGGGAAGAGTAAGTAAACGCATTGAGTTTCTGAAATTTTTTACAGTATAGTCGTATGACTCATATTTTCAGCTCTCGAAATTGGTTACTGGATTTGAAATAAAATTGGATCAGCCTTAAAAATAATACTTAACTGCTTATTAGCCTAACAATGAAAGCCAACAAAATTCGGTTTGCCATCATTTCAAAGTGTTTTTCAACATTAAGGTTCCATTACAATAGTCTGTATAAAATATGCTTAGCCCCACATTTTAGTATATTTCCTGATTCATGAGAGGTTAACCTCTTCTTAATTCTGTATTCTTATCACATTTTAGGTAAAAGTGTGATAGCTTTTTTCATCCTTATCATCCAAAAGATATCATGACCATTTTACTAAGCAGAATTACCTTGTATTCCTGAACTATATTTATTTGTCATTTTGCTATGGGTCTATTTTCGTATGTGTTTTATCAATAGTACATTATCAATTTTATAGCTTTGAAAAAGTACTAATTGTTGCTAAAAACCAAGTAATAAATTAAAAAAATATAAAACAAATTTTTTTTAAGAAATTTCGAGCAAAACCGTGACTTTTTGAAAGTTTCGTGGACATTCGCACCGTGACAAATTTACGACCCTAGTTATGGTCGAGCTTCCAACAGTGGTGAACTATGAAAAATGTGTTAATTTCTCAATAAGACACGTACAGTGTTCTCACTAAGTGTTTTTAGAAAGGTGGCCCATGATGCAAGCCTTTTTACAGAGGTAAAAATTTTACAGAGGCCTTTTTACTTTTCGTAAAAATGTTATCCCTTTTTTTTTCAGAAAAAAAATCTCTTTTCTTATGTTAAAAAAAAGAAATTGCTTCAACAGAAAACAAAGAGTTTACATTATCAATTTTACTGCAATTTATTTTTAGGCTAAATTAAAAAAAATATTATTTTAGTTTGTTAGTTTGAATATTTCGAATTCCGTTTTGAGGAACACTAATCTATCTTGATATAATTGATATAATTTCATGACGATTACCCTTCAAAACTGAAATTGCCCTTATTTTTAAAAAGCACCCTACTGCATATCTGTCATATTCTCTGATTTGATATTACAGGTAGATTCTTTATACAAAGATGTAATCAAATTCTGCTCTTTAAAAAGTGCTGTAACCAGAAAGAGACGTTTAGTGAAATTTTTATAAATGGAAAAAGAAAGTCTTTAATATATCTGATCAAGATATTATAACAAAACAAAAATGTAACAGATAATTTGCTTAAATTACTTACATATCCATTTTCTTAGAATATCAGACTTAGATTTCGCTGACAAAACGATTTTCTTGCTAATTTTATTTGATGTTATCAATAATACATTCGAAATAATATATGTATGTAAAATGTCAGTTAATTAAAAGACTAATTAACCATTATTAGGATTAATTAACTCACTCTTCATGCATTTTGACGCAATTCTAATGCAAATTACATAGTAAAAAAGTGATTTGAAAGATGGATGCAAAGAGTTAACTTACTTGAACGTCTCTAAACTTGTTGCAACCAAAACCTTGCCATTTCGGAGACCCGGAAACGGCTTGAAATGCCATTGGATAGGCAGGTTCCAGAGGGAGTTGGAAGTGTTTCATTCAGAGATGTACTGTCTATTTCATAACTGGATGGTTAATGCCGATGGAAAAGCTGCGATCATTCATAGCACGTGTATCACTATGGCTACCAACAGAACTACAATCAGATGTTCTGCTCTGATGCCGCTCGGATTAGACGCGCCAAATATGCAAAAGGGTCGCCTCTAATGTTTATTAATTGTTCTTTCAAATTGATGAATACATTTGAAATTGATATGTATTGATACATTGCTCTAAATATTTGGCGATTAATTTTTTTTATTGGTGATTTCGCGCTAAGATGTAGTAGTTTAGATGTCTGGAAAATTTTAGAATTATATTTATAGAGTTATTGTTTATATTAATGTTATTCTTTCTTTCTCTATCAACTTTTTTCTTTTTTTGTAGTGATTTGATATTGAAAACATTTGCTCTTATTATGCATAAAAAAGAGTCTTTGTTACCCTATTTGTATAAAGATAAATATAAGGCAAATAATTTTAAATAAATATAATTTTGTCAGAATTTATAACGTAAAATATTTGTACCGATTAAAATGTGTGATTAATGTAAATGCGTAGTGCGTGCTTGTAAATGTGAACAGATAAATGTGTAAAAATGCAAACTATGAATGTGTATCTATGAAATATGCATCATTTGCAACGTGTATTAACATTATTTTTCGAAATCAGGAAATAATTGTAAGTTAGAAAACTTTTCCGTAAAATACCATAAGAAATATACTTCAAATTCCAATCTAAGAAAGTCACCTGTATATGTTCTTTAAAACTCTATATCAGTTTTTACATTTCTAGGGTAAGGTATAGTAGAATATTCTAGTACAGAGAATAATACATTATTTAAACACATACACCCAGCTATTATAAAGATTGAGAACTTTTTTGTTGTACGATCTTTCAAATACAACGGTAAAAATTTAATAATTTGGATAACATAATTTCAATTTTATATTTTTTACAATGAAAAAGGAAGTTTGAACTGGCATGCCCCTTCTTAACTTCCCCCAACAATAGGAAAATAATTACATCCGAAATATGTGACTTTTTTCTAGTTAAATACATTAAAAATCTTTGATAGGACTCAATCAAACAAAGCCACGATCGTAACATATTTTATGAAATCATAACTTTAGGGAAATGCATGTATAACTGGGTTAGGTGCAAAGTTAAGCAATAATTTGTATATGCTAAGTTTTACAGAAATCAAATAAGTATAAACCTTGTAAAATGTTCATAATTAGTAAAACAAATTATATACAGATGGAATTAATGTAATTAAGGCGTTGCAAAGTTCCAGTGGCAAAACTTTGTTATTATAAGGAATCGAAGTCGTTTTATATACCATATTGTGTAATTTCTTTAATGAAAAGTAAATAAAATAACTCGATATGTAAATGAAACAATACATAGAGGCAGGTATGGCTGAGGGATGAAGTCCTCGAACTCCGGTAACTGTTGGTCAATTCGTATACCTTGCAAGCTCACACCAGCCTCAGTGTTGGCGTAAATAATTTCAGTGGTAGACGTATCAAAAGTTAGAATCTTCTAACTGCCGGACTAACCGAGGGCGGGTTTCGTGATATTCCTCTCCGCGAAACGTTTATTCGGATAGTCCCGTCGTTCTATGAAGGTGAATTTGTCCTAATGGTTGATGCATGAGTTCTCTTGTCTTTCAGATTGGAATCAAATTTGCAGAGTGGTTGGAGCAATCAATTAGCACTCAGAATAATAAATGTTTAAAAATTGCAAACAAGGTTTCGACGAAATATAGTTAAATATCGATTAATGAATCAGGTGAGGAATACCAAAGTTGTGTCAAAGTTTTAGTTCTACGAATAAAACTAAAATCCTGCCAATTATGCATTCTTAAGGACTTTACTGTACCTAAAAAAAATTAATAATGTAAGAAATTATTCCCTATTCTTCAAGTGATCTGTCTCAATTTCTTTAAAAGAAGAAAAAATGATATTTTTATGTAGATACTTTAAAAACTTATTTGTGTGAAATTTATTGATCTAAGTGCCTTTTTTTAGTTAACATGCCTTATTTACAAATATTTACCTAGAATTACTATATTGGGTTACGTCATGATAAAAAACATACTCATATTCGTTTTTGTTGTTATACAAAAGTTAAAAGCCGCTCAGTTAACAACTCAGAGCGTAAGGAACACTCACTATATGAATAGCATGTAGACAACAACGGTTTTAACTAACACATACAAAAAATATGGTCAAAGCTACCAAAATATGGTAAAATTTACCATGCTTCTGGCTCTGGGGAGCACCAAAAAGCACGGTAATTTCAACTGAAGCGCTTTGGTTTGGACTTTAGGTAAAATTAACATTAAAATCTGTTTTTATTACCTTGCTGTTTGGTAGAAAATGTGGTAAAATTTGGTAATTTTATCATGATACCTTAGAGCATTGTACAAAAATCACTTATTCTGTTAAATTTACTTTTCAGTTTTGTATTTTTACTAAATGTGGGATAATAAGAACTATAATTTTGAAAATCAGAATTTTCTATAAACCGTTATCATATAAAAGGGAACTGTTACCGTATAACAGGCTTAAATATCGCATATTTTGGTTTATTACCTGAATTATGGTTGTTATTTTTTTACCATAAATTTTGTTACCATACAAGTATGTTGATTTTACCAAAATTTTTCTTCAGTGAAGAAATCTTGGTACTCCTAGTAATCTTCAGTCCTAATTTTAAAATAATGACTATAAAGATTTTCTTAAAAAATGTGTTTAAAAGTTGTCGTCTTATTCTTATTATCTGCCAACAAATGGGATGATTCCTTTCTAAAAAATAACACTGAAAGTTATTGTTTTTAAATAAGAAAATGGAAATGTCTTTCCAGGAAATGAATTCAATAGTTAATTTTAAAACACCCTTCATATGTTCAGTACTCAGTTTCGTAAATTCTATAGATTTTCTATTGCTAAAAATTTGAATTCCTCGAAAGACTTGCAGCATATTATATGCAAATAACACAATATATAATATACATTCAAATATAATGAATTATATTTAAATCACTCAATGCAAAAAAGGTTTCATTCTTACAAGTTACTTTTTGAGAAAGCTAAAAAAAAAGAAATATTTTTTTGCTTTTTTATCAGTGCAATTCCTATTTTTCCATCAGAAAAAAATGTACGTTTATGATTTAGACATTACATCATAAACATAATTTTTCACAGATTTTTTGCTTAGATCAATAAGCAGAATTTTTCTTAAGTAGTTAGAAGAATTGAAGCCATTTCTGCAAATAGTGATTCATTTACTCAAAGAATCAGAGATAGTTCGTTCTTGTATATAAAGTCCCAAATCATGATTTTTTTAACAGTTAACTAAAATTACTTACACATTTTAGATAGAAATCAAACAGTTAATTTGGATCAAAAAACAGGAAAGTCAATTAGTTATGCGGAAGGATCATACTTTTCATTTTGAGCTCTTTACTAAATTAAATATTTACAAACATGCAAAAATATAACTATGTTTTAACTATAACTAGATAAATAATTATAACTTATTTACAGTAAAATATAAGTGTATTTTATGTTACATCGTATTCTAATATGTTTCGATTANAAAATTTCGCGGTTCCCATTTTTGTTTTATTTACTTTTATGACTTACTTTTGCTTACTTTGATTGCGCGCGCATACTTTGATCAAAGTACTTTGATCGTGTCAACCCGCCTTAAATTATGTCATTTTTAAAATTTGTTTAAACCAATTGGTTATTCAATATTCAATACTTTTAATGCTTCACATTTAAATAGTAAATATATATTTCTGATTAAAATTAAATTTTAAAATCGTATGAGATCTCTTAATTATCGTATCAGCTTAACTTAATTTGAGTTTTATTTCCTTACTAAGATTTATATTAATTTACTTGAGCAACGCAGTTTACGTTTAATCATATATTTAAAACTACTTAATCATCTAGCTTCGCATTTAAATAGTAAATATATATTTCTGTATAAAATTGAATTTTAAAATCGTATGAAATCGTTAAATTATCGTATCAGCTTCACTGAATTTGAGTTTTATTTCTTTACTAAAATTTATTTTAATTGTAGCAACGCAGTTTATGTTTAATCATGTATTTTAAACTGCTTAATCTACTTGATGTGTATAGTAGCTGGAATCTTATACATTCGTTATGTGGTAAATTTTGAGTTTACTATTTTCCAAATATTTATAGATTTTAATATGTGCAACATTAATAGAATATTTGCCTTAAAATTTAAAATTTGGCAATTTTTTCAATCTAATTTTTGAATCTTATTTATTTTTCTATTTAAAACTTTAAAAATAAACTATTACTTGAATTTTACATAATATGTCACTTCTGACTTTCTAATTGTGGTTCGTGAGTGTTTTCAAGCTATTACGCTCTTTGCTAATATTTGAAATTCTTATTTATTTTCAAACTTTCATTGAATTATTATTATTTTTTCATTTTACAGAATGCAAATTAGCAACATAGCTAAATAAGCTAACTTTAAAACGCTTTGAAAATTTGATGTGATTTATGTGGTTTATGTTTCATACAGTATGACCGACTTCTGCTATTTTTATTAACTCTGCATCTAATTACTTTAACGCAGCTTTTAAAGTAACTATTTATTTATTTTTTACCTTACTTATGTGCAAAAATCAACACATTTTAAATTTTTCTTAACACAGTGCTTAACACAAAAGGGTGACAGGACTCTTAAAATAAGTTTCATTTTAACAGCAATAACTTTGACTTGTAATAATTAATTCATTATACAAATACAGATTGTTTAAGCATTATTAGTAATTGTATGTTTGTAATTGTGAATGAACCTAAACAAAATAAGTTGCAATTTTTTTTAAAAGTGTGTTGAATTTTATTTTGTACTTAAACATAAGGGTTTATCAATTTTTAAAATTTATCAAATTCAGGTAAACATATTATAGAAAATATATTTATTCAACAGAAATTAATGATGAAATTTCAGATAAATAGCTTGCAACTATTAAATCTTTCGTTTTAATATAAATAAGTGCATTGCCTTATTTTTATTTAAATCATATG